GTTACCGTCACCGGTAATCGATTTAAAGTTATTCGCGAGCACCTGCATGCTCGTTCCATGCCCCTGACTGACCGTTATATTTAACTTTCGTGATAGAAGTTTTTGAAATTCCCGTCATGGGCAAACTTTGTCCGATATGTAAAATTACTGAAGTTGTAGCAGTTCATGTTACGTGGTAACTATCCAGGCGGTGGCGGACATGTGTATATGCTGTAACCGACCTGCTTCAAAAAGCGGTAAATACGGCTCGAATTTCCCATAAACCGAAAATGGCTTTGTAGGTAAAGCTGGTGAAAGCAGTTTTCAGCGCCTACGTAGGAAAGATAATAACCTAATTTAAAAAAAAATTTATAGAGACAATATGTTTTAAATCCAAGCAGCTCCAAGAAAGGTTTCTCGGATAAATAGAAGGTTCGCATCTATCAACACTATGAACTGCGTCGCTCTTTCCTACTAATTACACTGATCAACATTCAAAAAATATCCTAAATAAAATCAACAAAAATTACTTTTTTTAATGTGCTAAAACCGGAATGAAACTTATTTTTTCAATATTAGTTCAAGTTTTAGAGATACGGTAATTATATTGTGTTCCTGCTGTGACAGTGTTAATATACTGTAATTCACAAGAATTCACGTGCTACATTCTTATATTCGGTAAGGAAAGATGATGTAATCGGCATGATTGTGTTACGTTATACATACGTGTACATTATATTGTTTTATATTAGCCATTTTTTCCTCAGTTGGCTGACAGCGTTCGTGCAAGATGTCTCGAAAGTGTGTAAACAATCCAGATCAGCTTTGTTACGTGTGTGGTGATGTGACTTTTGCGTCTCAGAGACGGTCTATTACTCCACTAATAACAAAGGCATATCATCTTTATTTCGGTTGTAAACTAGGTGATCAAGACAAACAGTGGGCATCCCACATCTGCTGTAATACATGTGCTTCAAGTCTGAGGAGCTGGTTAAATGGCAAAAAACGGTCTATGCGCTTTGCTTTCCCAATGGTTTGGAGAGAGCCTACAAATCATATTAATGATTGTTACTTTTGCATGGTACCTTGTGTTGGACAAGCCACAGGTATGTCCAAGAAAAAAAAATCGGTTATTAACTACCCAAACATACCATCTGCGATGAGACCTGTGCCTCACAGTGACGAAAATCCTATTCCAAAACCCCCAGAATCCTACACTTGCGAATCAGAAAACGAATCAGATCATGGCGATCGAGTGATTCGTCAGGAAGAAGATATGCCATCAACGTCAAGAGATCCTGATTTTATACCGAGCACGTTATGCCACCAACCGGACAAAATAACACAGTCAGAATTAAATGATGTTGTAAGAGATTTAGAACTTCCAAAATGTAAGGCAGAGTTACTTGGATCAAGACTGCAGCAGTGGAACTTGTTAGAAGACGATGTTTCGGTATGTGTTTTTCATAAACGCCACAAAGACTTAGAACCATTTTTCAATATGGAGAATAACTTGGTTTTCTGCAGTAACATTAACGGCTTACTGGCGGCTTTAAATATAAACTATAACCCAGAAGAATGGAGATTGTTTATAGACAGTCAACATTGAGTTTAAAGGCAGTGTTATTGCATATTGGAAATATTTTACCATCTCTTCCTGTAGGGTATGCAGTTCACATGAAAGAATCATATGACAATATGAAGTACCTATTGACATGCATAAAATACGATGAGCACCAATGGCATATTTGTGGCGATTTGAAAGTTGTCGCACTTTTACTTGGGCTGCAGCTAGGCTACACAAAGTTTTGCTGTTTTTTGTGTAAATGGGACAGTAGGGCAAAGGCACTTCATTACACCAGACAAAACTGGCCTGTTCGTCAATTCATAGAGCCAGGTCAAAAAAATGTACAGCATATGCCATTAGTAGATCCGAAAAAAATTTATTACCACGACTGCATATCAAGTTGGGCCTAATGAAAAACTTTGTCAAGGCATTAGATAGAGATGGGTCAGCTTTTCAATACCTGCGTCAGAAATTTACAAGACTAAGTGAGGCAAAGGTTAAAGAAGGTATTTTTGTTGGGCCACAGATTCGAAATATTTTGAAAGATGCACAGTTTGAAAACACTTTAACAGGTATTGAAAAAACTGCTTGGAATGATTTCCGTCTGGTGGTCACTAATTTCTTGGGAAATAGAAAAGCTGACAACTATAAAACCCTTGTCAAAAATATGCTGTCATCGTATCATAAGATGGGCTGTAATATGTCTCTTAAGATACATTTCCTATACTCACACCTGGACTTTTTTCCTGACAATTGCGGAGCCGTAAGTGATGAACACGGCGAACGTTTTCATCAGGATATTTCAACAATGGAAAAAAGGTACCAGGGAAAGTGGAATCCTTCCATGCTTGCAGACTACTGTTGGACTCTTGGTAGAGATGCTCCAGAAACGATCCATAAAAGAACAGAAAAAAGACAGCGCATATAGTGATTCTTATAAGTATATGAATCTTGTTACTTTTTTTAATATATCCTTAAAAATAAAAAGTTTTTTTCTAAACCGCAACTAATTTTTTTATTTCATTGTCATTTTTGGATTCAGCGCCCCAAAATTAACAAAGAAGTGCACTTTTCCCACAAGATACAATTAAAAAACTAAAAATTGTTGTCCAGTGTTATACTGGGTGTACCAAATTCGACTCTCACCATTGGAAAGGAAAGAAACCGAGTTTCCCAAAACCTTTTATCTTCCTTATTTGAGATGAGATTTCAAAATAAAAGCTTTTTTAACGTTCCCACTTTGTTCCTGTGCATGATGGCATAATCAGAATATCAATAGTCTCTTGTCCTCATTTATTAACTCTATTTTTTCCTATAGACGTCATATTGTATTTTTGCATAGTTGAATGTCTACTGAGTGACAAACAAAGGTAAACACCTACGTATGTTTATTAGAATTCAAGAATTTTTTACGTATCGATTTATCTTGCCATGAGTAACAAGTGATAAAATAGTCAGGTATTTCTGTTAGGTTTTTGTGGTCGCTGCGTGTATTGTTACCTTGGTTATTTTCAAGGTCAAACTTCCGTACGGCATATGGCCGAATACGGCAGTTTGGCCTTTTCTCTTATTGCTCACATTGGGTGCTACCTCGCATAGCTGAACATCGGCGTAACCGTTTGCTCTAGTGTAGAGATTCAATTCTATGGGGTGCTATTGCTTATGGAAGCAGATCACCACTAATTTTCATCGGAGGCAATATGACAGCCCAACGCTATATTCAGGAAGTAGTGGAGCCTCATCTTATTCCATATCTAAACACTATCCAAAACCCGATTTTTCAGCAAGGCAATGCCAGACCGTATGTTGCCAGAGCATTGTTAGCATTCACGGATCAACATCGCATCAACCGTTTTCCCTAGCCGTCACAATCGCTTGATCTATCTTCAACTGAACATGTCTGGGACATGATAGGTCGCAGGCGCCTGAATTTGCAACACCCTCCACATACTTTAGCAGCTCTTCCTCACGAAGTTACAGTAGCCTGGAATGAGATACCCCAACGGGATGTCGACCGCATTATCAGCACGTTGCCCAGGCGTATCGATGAGTGTATAAGAAATCCTGGATCCTTGACACATTATTGAACCAGCTTCTGCAGTCAGTTGACGAATCAAGCTGAAAATTTAATCATTTTACTAGTAAGGGACCCTGAACGTATATGCCAAAAATTATTAAAATCGGATAGCATACTTGGGTGTTTACCTATTCTTGTCATTCAGTATAGTTCTTAATTCTGATTCTAAAATATGCTATACATTGACGTTACGAAACTTTGATGATTTAAGAAAAACGATATTATTTAAGCATTCCCGCAGTTTTTACGAACTCGGAATACACGAACGTACCTTGACGGTTCCAAACCTTGATGATTTAAAAGAAACGAATTTTCTAAGCATTCCTTCAGTTTTTTCGAACTCGGAATAGACGAACAGTTCTTATGTAATGTTCCTATAGTTTGTCATAACTCATCGAATAAAAAAAGTCCAATGCTAAAATTTATGATTACGTAGCATTAGTTAAGTTACTTGCAGAAGATTTTTGACATGTTCGATAGATCATAAGCTTCTGTCAGAAGGAATTTTTACAGATTAGGAGAACTGTAAGTCTGGATTGCTTATTAGGACCTTCAAGAGTGACATTAAGTCATTATTTTGTTTTGGCAGAAAATAATAACGTTTTAGACTTTTGAGGGTTGACAGCCATAGGCTGACAGTTTGCAAAGCTTCTACAGTATTTTTGGCATTCTGGGGATTAAAATAATATAACAATAGTGCATAGTATGCTAAAGGTTGGATATTCGAATTATGAAGGATTTTGTTCAAGTCAAAAGTGTATATCAAAAATAATAACGGCTAAAACAGAGCCTTGGGGCACGCCTGGAGGAATTGGCACATGAGAAAATATTTGATCGAAGCAAACACATTGAGTCTTGTGATAAAGATAACTCTGAAAAATGAAAGAACTAAGCTATCAATACCTATTTAATTCAATTTAGATAGCAGTAATTCATAGTAAAAGCTTCCGAGAAATCTGTAGATATTAACGTTAAAGCTTCTTATCCTTAGGCACCTAAAATGCTATCTCGCAAATTGAGAAGCGTGGATGTTGTAGTATAATTTAGTCCAAAGCCAGATTGGAATAAGGACTTATTGAGTCTTTTTCAAGATAAGAGATTAATTGCAATTTTAGCAGTTCCTCCAGAGTTTTAGGCAGAATCCGTAATAAATTGATAAGTCTGAGGTCGTTAAATTCAGCGGACTTAAGCTCTTGGGGATTGGTACGAGGGATGTTTTTTAAGTTTTGCATATGGAAATAAAACAACACGGAAGGTAGTTTTAAATGACTATTGTTTTTCGAAGTATTCTCCACGAAGATTAGTACACATCTGCATGCGCTCGAACCAGTTTTCGAAGCACTTATTCCAGTCGTTTGCAGGCAGATCCAAAACGGCATTTTTGAATGCGTCAACTGCTTCTTCTGGTGACTGGAACCTTTGACCCCACAGTCTGTTTTTAATTTTCGGGAAAGTAAAGAAATCGTTAGGACTTAGATCGGGACTATATGGAGGATGGTCGTTCTCCTCCGTTAAATACTGCCTTGTTTTTTGGGCTGTGTGCGAGCTTGCATTGTCTTGGTGGAGGATGATTCTTCTTTCAAGGTTGAATCTTCGAAGCTCGGTGATGACTTTTGGCAAACAAATGGTGGTATACCAATCCGCAGTAACAGTTCTTTGCTCATTAAGAGGAGTTGTTGCAATATGACCAGCTCTTGATACCAATGTCGCCTGTAGTGAGAACATTGCACGTATTGTTGTGAAACTTTGAATTTAAGTTTACTAAAGAGGAAGGCTAAGATTCAGTACTGACGTTCGATCCGCGCGGCCTATTATGTTTCTATATGCAAAACTTAAAAGATATCCCTCGTACAATCGAAGCTCGTTTTCATGCTGTTGGAAAGTATCCCTGTTCTAAACAATCATTAATGATGCCCGCGAAGGGAATGAGAACTACCGGTAGGCACAATTGGATTCGGTTACCTTTGCATCCGAATTTGGTGACTTCATTTCTTGTAATACGTCACTGGAGTGGATTTTGCTCAACGAAAAAGTGAGTTCTGGATATAACTTATTTTTGGAGTAATATTCGGTAACTTGCAGAATAACAGATTGACTGCTATATACATGAAATAATTATTAATTTTGATCGGATTATTCAAATATAAATATCTGCCATATTCAAACCGAAATCTACGGCTGAGTTGTCATGTAGAGCGCCTGCAACCAGATTTAAGGATTGTTATATTTATTAAATCGGAAGATCATCCCAATGGCATTTAAACACGTTTTTTTCAAATACTGAGGTACTGGTAATTTGATTGGATGAGCATGCGATAATCTGTCACCTTCAAGCCCACCAATGAAAATTTTAGATTTTGTAATACGATATATTATATCCTTTCGAAACCAGCATTGAAGACTCTATTTACGAGTACATATGCATGTGCCAAAATCCAATATGGCGCCTATCGGGGAAACTAAGGTCGATGAAATAGGGCAGTAGACAAAGAGTCGTATTGAAACTCCAAGGAGAGTCGGTTAAGCTGTGCAAGACGTAAATGTCAGCCACTTCTCCAGATGTGTAGTGTAAAAACCTCCGCTTAGCCCCATGACCAAAGACTAGTACTCTCTGTACTCCGCACTGCAGCTTAGTATTTCTTTCTTTCACACCGAAGCAGCCGCGCAGGCAGAAGCCTAAATGCCAGGGCATCGCGGCTGCTATGAGGATGCCAAAGAAATTTTCTTAATCGGACTTTTGAACTGCCTAAGGTTAGTAGAACTGGGAAAAGCATCCTCTTGTAAATTTTCTCACAATCTCGACACCATCGAGAAGAACAAGCGGTCGTATAGGCCAGTTCTGGATGTACAAAGTTCGACACGGTTAGGATGGGAGGCCGAAGACAGGCGGGTCTGTCTGGCAGGCACATAATGGAGAAGAGCTCCGAGGAGCAAAGCCCGTTGGTGTAGCGGTAGAGGAGAGCTAGTTCGCCTACGGCCCGCCTGAGACTGTCTGTTAGAGAAGAGTCATCGATCAGTCGGACAGCCCTTCTCTGGACTGCATCGAGCAGAGATAAAATAGTCGGGGCGGCAGCACCCCAAGCGTGTGAGCAATAGAGGCTAGGTCTTATCTGCGGCTTGTATAGAGTGAGTAGATCACGCGGAGAAAAGTACTTCTTAGCCCTAAACAATTTTTTTCCAGCGGCTTCCGCTACTGTCGAGACGTGTTCGTGCCAGGTCAAATTCTCGATGATCTGCCGGAACAAACGGCTCTTTGGCAGAACTCGGCCATCCATCGAAACCGGATGATTCCTAGGACGCTTTTTGTTCATCAAGGTACAGTACAGTGTTTTTGAAGCACTAAACTGTACAAGATGCGCCCTCAAGCCGTGATATCCTCCAGGTTTCTCGACGAAGAGGAAGTCGCTGCTAGACTCCTTTTTTTCAGATCTCCGGAAGAGATCGGCTTGTCGCTCTAAATTCTGTTGATATCAATTCTAGTATTATATTCTTGCGATTCGGCCACTTCAGGCATTTTTAAATATGAAACGTTTCGTCAAGTTTGTACGTTATCTTCAGGTACATGTGATTGTCTAGACAGGCTTATCTTTTTGGAGTTTTCCGTGTTTAATGTCCAATTGCAATATTGGAGTTTATATTTTTGTAAATTATTCTTTTCCACTACTACTAGTACTAGAAAAGCTGATAGAGATAATTAAATTCCTGCCAACATCTGACTGGTGGTCTGTACCAGATTCTTGCGTTCCCAAGAATAATTATAACCTCCAGCTCACTGGCCGTGTCACTCCGAGTTCCTACATGTGGAGTACTGTCAGCATCAAACCCGTGGACTGGATTGACATAGTACAGAAAGGGGCCGTTGAAACAATGTCGAGGCCAAGACCCAACCCTGGGAACAGCCGCATTGTCATTGTGGGATGAAGAGGAGAACTCATTGGTTACGACGGATATCTTGTGGCCAGGATAAAGGAGTCAGACACGCGTTTGCAAATCTTCATCCGTCAAGATGTAAAGAGTTTAAGCAAAAAGTACAGGGTGCGGCAGAGAGGACGGACGTTTTTGGGATGGGTAGTACTCTCCGCCTCTGTCTACGAGAGACGTGGGGAGGGTGCCGTTTGACTCGTGAGATCCTAGCATTATTTTACCAGTTGTCGTTATGGAGCCTTGGTCGGTGGAGCACCGCGTTTTCGCCTATGAGTGACGAAGCCCACTTTCACCTACACAGCATGGTTAACCAGCAGAATTGTCGTTATTGGGCTAATGAAAATCCGCGAAAGACCGCTGCACAGCCCAAAGGTAACAGTTTGGTGCGCTGTATTGCAAACTTGCATCATTGGCCCTTAATTCTTCGAAGACGGTAATGGTCGTGATGTTACCGTGAACTCAGAGCGCTACGTCGACATGATCACCAACATCTTTCTCACTGAATTACGACGGCGACGTGTTTCAATCCGACGTGTGTGGTTCCAGCAGGATGGGGCGACCGCCCACACAGCCCGGGCATCCATGGACATTATTCGCCCTCTCTTCCCTGGTCGCCTTATTTCCAGGTTTGGTGATGTTCATTGGCCTCCTCGGCCCCCAGATTTATCCATATGCGATTTTTTCTCATGGGGACACCTCAAGGCTAGAGTATACGCGAACAAGCCCCGAACTCAGGACGAACTGACTGTCTCAAATGCTATTTCCTTGTGAACCTGATTCCATTAATAAATTTGTTTTAGAGTAAAAATTAACTATTTTATGATTTTTTAAAACCGTCCATCCTCTCTGCCGCACCCTGTATAACAGGTTATTTGAATGCTTGAGAAGAATGTCGAAGAATAATAGTAATTGTAAATATGCATCATCAAGATCCCACTGCTTTGCATGGCTGTCCCAACTAACAATTATCACTCCTATTAGAGTTGCAAGAATGATTATACAGTATTCTTTACACAGTATTGTATACTGTAAGAACATTGGCAAAACCCTCTTAGAACAGCTATACAAGCGGAATGGGCTCGCCTAATAGGACACTTCAGTCATTTAAGAGGTTGTATAAGGGCTGCAGATAACAGTTATACAACAAAAGTGTAAGCCTCTTGCAGCCGCTATATTGCATTTGCGTCAGTGCAAGATTCAGTTTTTGTCAACTATCCAACTATTCTGTTACGTGATTCTACGTTATTGCAACCAATTTCTTACGTATTATTCAGACGAAGTGAAAAATATATAACACATTACAGTCATCTTGTTTACTTACATATCGGCCATTGTGAATTTCATACACAGGGATAGGATAAACTTCTACACTGTGATATAGGGCTATTGAGTTACTTGCGCAGCAAATTTTATTGTGATTATCGTGCAAAGTAGTTACGCCGTTTCTACGGGCTTCGTATTTGATTCATTTTTAATAATGATCAAAAGTATGTCTAGATTTTTAAGATGGAAAACTGAACTTATCTGCGTTGAATCTTCCACAAATCCTAAATTTAGACACAATTACACTAATGTTTATCACTTTATATCTCTAATTTCGAACTGAAACATAATTATTTAATATTAAATAGAGGAACAAATGTTTGCCCAGTATGGCGGGTGGTTGTGTATAATCGTGGCATCGTCCATGTTGTCTTTAGTTTATTAGAATATTTTGGTGTTGCCTGCAGGTGTTATACAACAATTTGACAAATGTCTGAAATGGAATACCGACACAGTCGAATGATTTACCCAGAATTTGTACCAGATATATATCTTCTGTTTGAACAGTTGATAAAACCTTTTGAACCAAAGAGCATGCGTTGTTTGTCTTAAAACATTGGTTATGGAATTTTAACAGAAATATGACAGCAGAAAGTTAGGTTATGGTGAATTTGTATGTATTTAGCATATGTACAGCCTTTAGCAGTTACTAAACAACATCAATTTGTTGGCTAAAGTAGTAAATTGCATAGCAAAACAACAAGGCTCGGGTTGGTTCTATAAACGTTACCATGGATGCCACAACACAACCATTTTGACTAACGTGCAAATATGCCGTATAAAACAGTTGTATAAACGTTTATGCAACAGTTAAAAATTTGCCCTATAAGGTGTTGTATAACTATGCTATAAGAATATTTTAAACACCTCATTTTAGAGCAAATATGTTGCAAAAACACAACATTAAGCCAGCATTTTGGTGTTCAGGCAACAACAATAGAGAGCTTTTATGGCTGAATGGTTCTTTTACCAAAAGCTTATACCACAACTTTGCTAGTTGGGGTTGGACTATTCAACTAGCTAGTGCTTAGTGTGGATTATGTCAATCAGGTAGCGATTATTCTACATAATATGGGTGCAGTTCTAGAAGTTATAGGGAGATCATCAGAATACAAACGCCTTCTAACATCAACAAATTGTTTAAGCTTCATAACTGATCATATCTCCACAAGCCACTTCCTTTCTAACAGGGGCTATTCGTAGATTTTCACATCAAATTAGCAGCTTCACACTCCATAAACCAACCAGCAACGAACTTTTCTGAGCTGCGATGGAAAGCAGACAGCTGTGGAGCCACTTCAAAGTTTGGCGGTGTTATGCAGTGCCGTTAACTAAGGTTCTAATATGACCGCCCCTAGTTAAAATCGATGTCGGAAACCAGCCGCCTAATACACTGGCTAGCCGTGTTTCCGTTATAACCACTTTAAAATGGACCAGAGACGGCATAATAAGCTGCCATGCAGCGACAAACTTGGATTAGATGCGGCGTTGCCGATTATTTGGCCTGAGCAATTACAAAGTTTTGGAGAGCACCTACTCAACTTGACGGAAATGTCGTTAGCAGGGCCAGTGCTTAAGTTCCGTGGGCGATGAGTTCTGCTCTGCGTTTCTGATGTACA